ACACAAGGCGAGGGGTTATGAAGGACTGAGAAATTGAGATTTACAAGTATAATCATGTTGATTCTATCTTTCTTTTTAGTCCTCCTCTTTCAATTGCCTTTTATGAGGGATTCGTGAGTACAACGGACACGTTTCGGAATCCCCACTACTTATTCCCATGACCAATGTTTGCATCGGCATCACAGATCTGAGTCAAAACAATCTGAGTCAGTTTAAACATAGGCTGATCCAACAATTTATAGACTCGTGTAAAGGCAAAACACAGCTTGGAGCAATTGATTTTAATAGGGCAATATCACGAATAATATTATAAAGGAATATTCCATCGGTGGAATATACATAACAGTACCAACTGACAATCATGTCTGCTAACGGGATTAGCAATATGGCTACGCTACCCTGCAATAAACCAGTATTTCAATACACGACCTTTCGTCGTGCTAGGACATCTGGGACCCTAAAATTTACAGCTGAAAAACACGTGGTTAATTTTAAATAACTGACGATTAACCGAAATTTAAGAAAAATGATTTAAAGCATTTTTTAAAAATATGGATATACAATAAGCTTTATACACGATGGAAAATTAATTTCTGTTTATGATAAAATTTATTCACAATGGTAGAGGAAAGTATTTATAAACGGATGCACTGTTAAGTACTGATTTCGTTTGACAATACCCTATATTATATCAACGAAAGAAATTGATATGTCTGTATACGTTAGCTTATAGTTCTAAACAAAATTTGTCTTTCATTTCTATTATGGATAGTACGTTATAATTATTAATAATAAGGATACGTATTGGGATCCTTGAATTATCGCACTTTGCATGCTATAAATAAAAAAAAGACATGTTAATACTTGAAAATATTGTCTTTAGACTAGGTTAGAGGTAATATGTAGGCTGCGTATAGCAGCGAACGCAAAGCTCATTCACCTGAAATGAACACGAATCGTGAACAGTGTATTACAACACTATTATGTAAAAGGTTGTTTGGCAATTAAAATTTGCAGCATGTTAATGTTTCTTGTCTAATCTAGAAATTAGCGGCCGTCAAGGAGAAATTTACAATATAAGAATTCGTTTATAATTGCTAATTTAAAAAATGAATTTTGAAAGAAAGTGGAAGTTATTTTAATAACCCAGATCCTCTAGATTGAAAGTGGGAAAAAGGAATTCAGCGCAATTGGGGACTTTCCGAAATAAAAATTTACAAGTAGATCCCGTTTTCATGGAGATAAGCAAACACTGCAAGGGGCAGAAATATGTATTTCATAAACGGGTTCAAAATATGCGAAATTTTTACTTAAACCTTCCATGGATTTTACATGCAACACATATTTCTGTTTGTCAAAAATCTGTGACATCGAGAATAAAAAACAATCCATTGACGTGTAGCGATTCCTATTTATACAATTGTGTCGTTTTGATTCGGTTATCTTTAATGTATTCCGTGTGATGTCAAAGATACAAGAATCTTCCGTTAAATAAGAAAACGTTTGTAACACGCACCTTATTTTTTCACCTACACATTGATCTCAATTTATTGTATAATACTATCTACGATTATTTTTTGTTCACTTTTATGTTCAAATTTATACGAAACCAATTTGTAGATATTTAAGATTGTTACTAGACACTTAAGTAATCTATATTGCTCATCCGAGTATTGTGGTAGAATGAAATGCTTGAATCTGTAAAATTTCAATAAAACAATTACTGTCACTGGCCATTAAAGAATGTACCATTAATATTAACATACTTTTATAAAACACCCGTTCAACGCAATTAAACGAAATTTCATTCTGTGTGCACAGTCGTTCATAAATATTGGAACAGCTACTGATTTTATAAAGGAAGATAATATCTGATCAATACCACGTTATCTATGCAGCCTTTCGATATTATACAAGGAAAAACATATATTCAAGTCCACGTCAGTACCATTTACATAATTATTCTGCTCATGTATTTTGTACATATATGTATGTACATATGCTGAAAACATGCGTAGTCCGTGGTATAACGTATCTACGATATGGGGAGTTTCCGTAGACATATTTCTTGAATTCGCCGAGTTGTCATTGCTTTAATGTGGATCTGTATTACGTTACGTTAAAATTGGTTACATCAGTTACACGTCCAGTATATAGCTAACAAGATTTGATTGTATTGTATATAACATACTCAATGTCATTATAATTTTATTATAAGATTTTATTATATTGTATAAGTTGCAGAATTTATGTAATACAATACATACGTTTTTAAATAAAACTTTTGCAAGTGTACAGTTATTTTCTAATAATTTTTTCTAATTCTCTGTACCTGTCGTAATTATTCTAATACAGTGCAATCTATATGAAAATGTTCTCATTTAAATTCCCTCCGTTGGAAAAAATCAAGATTCACGTAAGTATTTTTACAAAATAATATTATTTCTATTCACTGATCAAAAAAAAGACTTGGTATCTAAAACATAACCAGTTGCACAGAAACTTTTCCTCGACCAAATGATTTATCTAAGTACACGTGTACTTTCGGGTTGTTGTGTCTTTCTAACTTTAAGCCTTTGTACTCGACAATATTTTTTATTACAAACATTCATTATTTTCTAACGAAATATTAACAATATTATTTGCAGCTTACATAAAGAAACATCTTGTACAAATTATGGGACAGAATTGTTTTATTTCTACGTTCCATGTGTTAATACCTTATTCAACATTTTATACTGAATTTTTCATTCTATAATTTTGTTGCGTCCAATCAAATGGTGACTTAGAACCGCCTCTCGAGTGCAAAGGGTTAAATAATCCTTTACAATATCAATGGTACAAAAATAAAATGGCTATGAAAAAAACATTAGACAGTGTTTTGATTTTCTCAGGTTGGAACTTTTACAAAATCAATATCTAATAACATATTTAATTTTGTAACAAATTTCTTATGGATAAAAGCAAGAATCTCAATGAAGGAATTCGTTCGTTCGTTGATTTTTTCGCGTACTGCGTTATTACTACAAAAAGACGTGAGAACTGTTTTGATTTTCAAATGAAGTTAATTCGGAAGTATGCCAAGAATCTGGATAACCTTATTGGGTTCAGTAAACATTCGTTTACAGCGCGATAACGTAATATATAAACTTAGTTCAATGAATTTCAACGGATAAGTGGAGCATTGATAAATAAGACATAACCTGATGCTGATGAATAGTGTATACATTCGTGGGTAACCGGTAATTAATTATGCTCCAACTGC